ATGAAATATTAATAAAACTAAGTTTCCTTTTGTAGGTAATGAAAATCAACATTTTCCGCAGGATGGTTGAGAACATCTAACAACTGCTGTTTGGAAGGATCTGCATTGATGCTCCTCTGTTCAACTAGGATGCAGCAATTTGTCAAAGACTTAGAGTTACATTATCAGTCAAAGCCTGACCTCCACTTTTCTTAATAAATCTCTTTTTGGTTCTTTCAGCCTGGAGTAAATGAAAATTAGCCATTATTATGTGTTGAGATTTAGCATGTTTAACCATGTCACAGTCAGACATCCATTATTATAACAAATAATAATAATTTGAAAGCAGGTAAACAACATAAATCTGGATTCACCAGGATTGAGAACATTTTACCTGAGAGTTTCCAGGTTGCAGTTTGGACTCTTCAGTCCAGCAGAGAGAAGCTTCACTCCTGAATCCTGCAGGTTGTTGTTACTCAGGTCCAGTTCTCTGAGACTGGAGGACTGGGAGCTGAGAACTGAGGACAGAGCTTCACAGCTTCTCTCTGAGAGGTTACAGCCACTCAGTCTGAGGAGACAGGGAGGGAAATGTGTTACTAAGCTAATCACAAATATTTATTTCTTTATTTCCAGTCAAGAATGTTCTTCTTAGAAAGACTAAAAGGACGTTTTACTCAACATATTTTATGTACTTTTGTTGAGAAGTGGATAATTTTGCAGATGGAACTAAAGAATTAAAAGAATAGACAACAAGGAGGCAAGAGAACTATTATAATCCATCATGAACTAAATTAATCCAGTGTCAGTTTTAACAGAAAGAGTCCAGTGAAAATCCAGGCTGAAGAACAGCATCAGAGCTGGTTTGAGGAAAAACACCAACTTCAAGCAAAGCAGAGAGAATCTAAGATTTTATCTTTCCGTTTCTAAACAGCTTGGATTCAGAGATGGAAAACTGACTAGCAACTTAAAAAAGCTATCACTGTGAGCAACAAGCTATCTATTAATCTTCAAACTAAATGTTTGCCAGCAGACTGACTAAAGACATTTCTCCCTCTTCCTCCTCTATCAGACCTTCTCTGCTCCTGCAGCAGGTTCCTCCATACCTGAGAGCTTCCAGTCTCCAGTGTGGATCCTTCAGTCCAGCCGACAGCAGCTTCACTCCTGAGTCTCCTGGATGATTGTAGCTCAGGTCCAACTCTTTCAGATGGGAGGGGTTGGAGGTCAGAGCTGAGGCCAGAGAAGCACAGCCTTCCTCTGAGACCAAACAGCCTGATAAGCTGCAGACACACAATCATCATCATGATGAGAAAATGAGAACATTGAGGTAGAAACCAAGGTCTGAACTGATGGATGGATTTGTAACATGTGGAATAAATCAGAAAGTCAACCAACTGTTGGGATTTGTATTTATGTTTCTTTTTGAACCTAAGATGCATCAATTTGTCAAGAGCCCAGAGTTACCTGAGAGTTTCCAGGTTGCAGTTTGGACTCTTCAGTCCAGCAGAGAGAAGCTTCACTCCTGAATCCTGCAGGTTGTTGTTACTCAGGTCCAGTTCTCTGAGACTGGAGGACTGGGAGCTGAGAACTGAGGACAGAGCTTCACAGCTTCTCTCTGAGAGGTTACAGCCACTCAGTCTGAGGAGACAGGGAGGAAAATATGTTATTAAACAATTCTTCAAAATTTTATGTTTTATGTTCCAGTCAATGATATAGTTGGATAAATTGTGATGTTATTTGTCAAATATTTGTTATTCTCATGTATCTTTATAATGTATCTTTTTTATATGCTTTTATTGTTTAGTTTCATCTTAGCATTAAGAATGTTTCTGTATTGTTGAATTACTCTGATTCTCAGAAGGCTTCACTGAAACAGTGACAACAGGTTTCTGTAGGTTTATCTCTCAGTGGGAAGCAAGGCCTGTTTGACTGGCTAGGTTACTATAAAACTGACTGTGAAGATGTACAACTTGCTCTGTTTAACCCTGTGTCTGGAACGAGACTATCTAATGCAAGATACCTTGTGTTATAGTTAGTGATTGTCATTGGTGCTGTCGCTATGTGATGAAGTTTTTCCCCTCCCTTTAGAGTTACAGTGTTTCTTTGTGATCAGGGATCCTGAAAACAATAAAAAGAGAGGAGCAGGCAAATGTGTTTTCAGAGCAGCAGAAGATTGTAACTGAAAGCACATGACTGTCTGTTCTCCTCGTGAGTAAGAAAGAATCTAACTCTCTTGTCTTTCCTGTGTTTGTTTAATAGGTGTTAATCCTGAAAGATTAACACCTATTGAACAAATATTCATTTTGCACAGATTGAAAAGAATATCATATTTTCCACATCTTTAAGCTTGGCACAATACATGGCAGTTCACCTGTGTTGTGAACAGCTTTATTCTATAGTTGGGCCTAAAGTCTTAAACGACTGAAATACAGCAGCCTTCAAGGAGGCTGGCAAGAGAAACATTAATTTCTGTAATGAACTGCATTAATCCAGTGTCGGCTTCAATAGGAAAAATAATTTCTGCTGCTTGAACATGTAGCATTATGAATAGTCACCTATGAGAGCCAGTCTCTCTTTTGCTCAGCATCTGCTAGTAGCCAACATTGAGGAGACAATGTATGAGTAAACAAACTGATGAAGCAACACTCAGTATTTATCTCATCACTGACAGATTTTTATCAAAAATAAATGCAGTAACAATGTGTGTCCTTACAGAGCTTTGTTGGAGGCTTTAACCACTGGCAGCAGCCTCAGAAGAACCTCCTCTGAAGCAGAGTATTTCTTCAGGTCAAACACATCCAGATCTTTTCCTGATGACACTAAGATGAAACCCAGAGCTGACCACTGAGCAGGAGACACTTTATCTGTGGAGAGACTTCCTGAACTCAGAGACTGTTGGATCTCCTCCACTAGAAAACGATCATTCAGTTCATTCAGACAGTGGAACAGATTGATGCTTTTCTCTGGAGACACATTCTCATTGATCATCTCCTTGATGTACTGAACTGTTTCCTGATTGGTCTGTGATCTACTTCCTATCTGTGTCACCAGACCTTTTAGGAGTCTCTGATTGGTCTGCAGTGAAATTCCCAGGAGGAAACGGAGGAACAAGTCCAGGTGTCCATTTGGACTCTGTAAGGCCTGGTCAACAGAACTCTGATGGAGAGACGTTAGATTAGGTTTATTAAATAATAAAAACTTCTTAGATGTTTGTTTTTCTTCCATCAGGTTGACCCCAGAGTTGATGAAGGTCAGATGAACATGAAGAGCAGCCAGAAACTCCTGAACACTCAGATGGACGAAGCAGAACACCTTGTCTTGGTACAGACCTCTCCTCTTTAAAGATCTGTGTGAACACTCCTGAGTACACTGAGGCTGCTCTGATATCGATGCCACACTCTGTCAGGTCTGATTCATAGAAGATCAGATTTCCTTTCTGCAGCTGAACAAAAGCCAGTTTTCCCAGAGACTCAATCATCTTCCTGCTCTCTGGACTCCAGTGTGGATCTGTTTCAGCTCCTCCATCATACTTGACCTTCTTCACTTTGGTCTGAACCACCAGGAAGTGGATGTACATCTCAGTCAGGGTTCTGGGCAGCTCTCCCTCTCTGGTCTCCAACACATCCTCCAGAACTGTAGCAGTGATCCAGCAGAAGACTGGGATGTGGCACATGATGTGGAGGCTTCGTGATGTCTTCATGTGGGAGATGATCCTTCTGGCCTGTTTCTCATCTCTGAATCTCTTCCTGAAGTACTCCTCCTTCTGAGGGTCATTGAACCCTCTGACCTCTGTCACCATGTCAACACACTGAGGAGGGATCTGATTGGCTGCTGCAGGTCGTGTGGTTATCCAGAGGAGAGCAGAGGGAAGCAGTTTCCCCCTGATGAGGTTTGTCAGCAGAACATCCACTGAGGTGGACTCTGTAGCATCAGTCAGGATCTCCTTGTTGTGGAAGTCCAGTGGAAGTCGACTCTCATCCAAGCCATCAAAGATGAACAGAACCTGGAAGTGTTCAAAGCTGCAGATTTCTTTGGTTTCACTAAAGAAATGATGAACAAGTTCCACCAAGCTGAACTTTTTCTCTTTCAGCACATTCAGCTCTCTGAAGGTGAATGGAAATATGAACTGGATGTTCTGGTGGGCTTTGTCTTCAGCCCAGTCCAGAGTGAACTTCTGTGTTAGGAATGTTTTCCCAATGCCAGCCACTCCCTTTGTCATCACTGTTCTGATTGGTTGATCTCTTCCAGGTGGGACTTTAAAGATGTCTTCTTGTCTGACTGTTGTTTCTGGTCTGTGTGGTTTCCTGGATGCTGTTTCAATCTGTCTGACCTCATGTTCATCATTGACCTCTCCAGTCCCCTCTGTGATGTAGAGCTCTGTGTAGATCTGGTTCAGAAGGGTTGGACTTCCTGCTTTAGCAATCCCCTCAAACACAGACTGGAACTTCTTCTTCAGACCAGATTTAAGTTGATGTTGACAAACTGCAGCAAGATGTTCTAAATAAACATAAATATAAATAAATATAAATATAAAAAAATATAATACTAAATAAAATATTTTTAAGATGATGTTAATAAATATGATTCCACATCAGTAAATGTCTGATTTATCCATCAGGTCAAATCTTTGTACAAATCCTCTTACTGCTATGCAGACGGTCAGCCAGCTTTTCCTGTTTCATCCTCCTCAGGAAGTTCAGTGTGATCTTCATCACTGCCTCTCTGCTGCCTCCTCTGCTCTTCATCATCACCTTCCAACACCTTATCATCTCTCTGACTCTCGGAATGTTCTCGGTAATCTGGACTCAGAACCTTCTGGATCTTTTTCAGTTCTTCACAAAAGTGACAATGTTTTCCTCCAGCAGCTGGAACAGAATAATAGATGAAGGAAACGTCAGAGTTTAAATCATGGAGCCAAACGCCAGATGGATGTTGGACAGACTGACAGTCCTCTGGTCTACAAAGTGCAGCATGGAGATGAATGTGAACAGAACCCATAGAAAAGTAGTTGTATATTTACAGACCATAAATATGGAGTCCAGCTGTGTTTGATGCTGCTGGACAGATGGACCACTGGGAACCTCTGAGCTCTGCTGGTCCACTCTGTGGAGGAACCAGGAACAATTAGGAAGTCAGGAAATATTCATCCAGCAGTTTTCACAGAGGAAATCACCAAGAGTTTCACATTAAAAATACTTGAAGCAGTAAAACAGAGCATGACATGAACACAATACAAAGGAGTAAGAAAGAGGAAAATGGATTACAGTAACACTTGAATCACTCCACACTCTCAGCAGAATAAATAAAAACTGGGATATTCATACTGGTTCAGTTTCCACAGTTACAGCAGTTAGAAACATCTCACCTCTCTGATGGTGGAGATCCAGGTGATTTAAAGAAAATGATCTCATCCTTTGACTTGTTGCTCTCAAAGGAGACACAGCTGGGTTCTGGTTCTGGTTTGAGTCTGTCATTGATCCTGACAGAAACATGATGATTGAAACTTAATCAGCAAAGAGGAGCAGCAGAAGCTTCATCACCACGTCTGTTCTGGCCTGATATAGTGAACGCTGTGTGAAAAGGGCTGTGGACAGTTAGAGATGGTGACCTCACCTCTGACCTTTGCTCTGGCTCTCATCTTCCCCACACAGAGTGGTTTTAGAAGGAGGGACTCCCTCCTCACTGTCCTCACACTGATCCATGCTGCTGAATCCACATCAGCTCACACACACTTTCTAGCTTCACCTGCAGAGGAAACACACATCATTCATCTGCACATCAACTCTGATCATCCTTTACATCATTAGTGCTGGAAAAAGATCAGCTGCTCCTCCTCTGATTGGCTCTTCTTCTCTGAATGCAGTCAGACAGCAGAGAGGCAGAGGAAGCTGCCATCAGCTGCTGCACTTCTACTATCAGTCCACTAGATGGAGACATGGAGCAACATTTACATTCACTGATTCAACCTGAACAACAGGAAGGATTTTAGTTAGTTAATTTTTAATCACTACAAATAAAAAATTGTAATCATTTATAGTGATTTGATTATATGCTACATCAAAGATTATATAGATAGATATTTTACTTTGTCTGACCTTGATGGTGGAGAATAGTTTGGTTATAGGTAAGAAAAACATGAAGCACTTTGTAAAGAGAGGAAATCGAAGAAACATCATCCTTTCATCATACTGTTCATCAGTTCATCAGTAATATAATACTGATCTTCAAACAGCAGAAAGATGAAACATTGAGCAGAAATAAGCAGTGAACCTGCTCTCCAAATATTAGAGAGCAGAAACATACAGGAAAGTTCCTGAAGACAAAGTTCAAGTAGGAAACAAAGCAAACTTACAGTTTATTCAAACGATCCAAAAAGTTGAAGAACATTTGAAAAACAAATAAAGATCCAACAACATGATCGGAGCCACACCTTAACAGTGTAATTAAAACTGAAAGCAAATGTGATAGAGGTCGCTTAACTGATCGTGTCACAACTCTTCTGGTTTGTAGTTTCTTCTTTTGCAGCAGGAGAACCAGGAAGTGGAAGGTCTACAGTAAAATCAGAGGCAGGTTTATAAATTATTAATGAAAGAGAGACGTTCTGATAAAAATGAGGATGTACTTACTTTTGATCATAACTAGTGATGATTGTAAAAACATTTTTTGCAATATTTCAGGTTATTTAGCATGTCAGAAAATCTTTTAAAATGGATATAAACTGGATATTTGCATAACTTTTGAAACAAATATCTAACTTCAAAGTAAATATTTATTTGGCAAACTACAATGTTGTTCTCCAAAATAACATTTGATTTTTAAATTAAATATTTTCAAAGCTAAATTTGTGTATTTTAATTTCTAGTTGTTCAGTGAGAGACTTTATTATGTTAACATGTTTTAATTTTTCCCTCCATTCAGTAACAGTTTGTGAAGATGGTTTAATCAAATTCAATTTTCTCCCAGGTCTTTATTTGTGGTCAATCCCAGAAGACATGTGTGATGACAGACCATGCCAAATTCCTCCAATATCTATCTGTGGTTGGAATCCTGGAAATGAACATTTTTAATAGAGTCCTGTTTAAAGGTTTGTCTAACCAAATTAGTTCTACCAGTTTTGTTGATTCATTATTGTGCAAGCTTGAACGTTTCATTGCAGCTTTGTTTTGTTCCTGTTGCATGAGGAACAAAACATGAGTTGTTTTTATTTAGTGGCAGAGCTACAGTCATCATCGAAGTTTTCCCAAGCATGGAATCCTGTCATGTCTCTGGTTAAGCTTCTGACCCACATGCAGATATGGGGAACGGGGGCTTCTGGAAGAAATAATAAATTAATGGAGCAGAACGCACCCAAGGACATGCTCTTAGATAAGGATGTCCTAATCTAATACATCATATCAGACTATTGACGGGAGACTGAGCTACATGGTTCATGGCCATAAAATGCAATACACAGACACAGCAAACAGATAGACTCCATCATGCCACCACCTTTCGCTCATATCTGAATTGTCTGAATTTTACTATGTGCATACTTCCCTAATATGTATATTCCTCTTTTTACCTTATTACTTTTTAAAAATGTAAGTACTCACTATTAAACCAGAAAAGGAATTAGAACAAACTTAACATCCAGAAAAAACTACTTCCACAACAGGAACATTTAGTTTTTATTATTATGTTTAGAAACTGTAGAGTAATCATTACTTTTACAAATTCAAAATAAAATAATAAACTCCTGAGGATACATACTTATCTAGCATCCCAGAAAAAACTAGTTTATAAATTACAGACAGCTCATTCTTAAACATGGGGAACTAATAATACTCTTGTATGTCTTTTCTTTGGTTTATTTTGTTTGCATTTCCATCTAATTCATGGAAAGCACTTTAAATTACTGTTGCTGAAAATGTGCTATATCATTAAATTTATCTTACCTTACCATGTGTATAAAAGAAGCTTCAGGCTCCTATGATTTGTTCATCTGACAAACATAATTTAAAGAAATGTTGCTCTTTATCACAAATCAAACTGGTAAAACATCTTTTTTGAAGCACAATCCTTCTGTTTTATTTATAACTTTATATTATTGGCAAACTGATCTAAGAACCATGTGTTGCCATGTGTGTGACAATCTTGGTGAGCCAGATTAAAATAAGAAATAAGAGATAAAATAAGCCTTCTGAGAGAACCTACCTGAAAACTGAACCTAGATGTTAGAAGAAAGTCAACATGGATACTGGATAAGATCATTGGGGAAGCCAGAGCTAATCAAAATGTGTCAAAATCTAAAGTGCAGTGAGGCTGGCAGATGAAGGATAATAAGGATGGTGGGAACCACAACTGGTTAACTCCGGGATGGTGAAAAGCCCCAAGTTTTCCAGCAGTTTTTAAATAACTGTCAGGTTAAAATACCCTAAACACCTTCACACAGACATAGACAAAGGAAAAAAGAGGAAAATGAATTAAAATGTGTTACTCAAGGAGAGAAAGAACAGGGAGCGATTGGTTCACACTCCAAACTTGCTCTGAGTTTACCCTCTTTCTTTTCCTTTTATTGAAATTCAAGAGCCCTGGTTACATAGTTTAGCAGCTACTAATTAAGGGAGGAGCAAACAACAAATCCTGCTGCTAACACATTTATATATCTTTTCTATACAATGTAGTTTCCTATCTTTCTGCATGCGAGGTCTTAAGTGCAGTTCCATATATCTGGGTCACAAACTTCGACCATTTAATCTTTGAGTGAGGCCAGCCACAGCCCTGCAGAATGGATGGCCTCTCCGTCCACTTTGGCATGCTTATCTCCTCCTGTAGACATCACTAAAAGCCACACATTCTAGAAGCAAACAGTCAAACAGTCTATAAGGATAATGAGTATATATGAAATAAAAGATATTTAGAAATCTAACAATAACACTAGACTGTTTCCAGTAAATGAAAAGACATGAAATTGTGGAATTTGGGTCTCAAAGACAGAAATTCCTGCCTTAGAAAAACTCAAGCAAGAAAGAAGCAACTTCACCGGATGCAAGCAGAAGAACAATGTCTCCTTGAAGAGAAAATTGGTGCTTTGGGTGTAAAGGTGAACAGAATGATAATCATCTTTGATAGGAAAGCAAATCCACCTGGAACCCTCAGAATACCTTAAGTCACATTAAGAAAGACTTTAAAATATTGAACCAGACGGGAGAAACAGGACAGACAGACAAGCTTTCTGTCAGCAGTCTCAGTAAACAGATGGAGTCAGGCAGAAAGAACAAATATTCTGAGGAAGAATGACTGAAGCCGTCATTAACGCCGTCAGCCCTGACCTTCATCTCAGAGATCTGCTGGAAGTGAAGTTGGACCTCACACTCCCCACTCTTACAGTTATATTCAACTATAAAATTGACTCATCATCTGACCTGCTGCATGAACATCTCCCAAGACCCAAGAGCGTCTGCTCAAGCCTTCCTGTTGAGAGAACTAGAGTTGAGAGAAACACTGCTCTGCATGTCTGGGGAAGAAGACAAGGCAGAGCAGTTCAGGCCAAATCTGATCCAACTTAAGTTCCTGCAGTCACTGGAAACAAGTTTGTTGAGTGAAGCCCTGATGTTCCAGTTAAACCCAAAATTGAACCGCCAAAATATCATAGATGAGGTTTTAACTGAAAAGATACATTACGCTACCAGTCTTGAAATTTAGCAACAAAACATACTGCTCCATCAAACCATTGAGATTAAATGGAAAACAAGCAGAAGTTCAGAATATTCACTTTCACTCACAACACAGAGACAATGAGAGGGGAGACAGATTAAAAGAGGTGAAAATGTATCAAGAGGAAACAAGTGCAAAGTCAATGGCCAGATTCAGAGACTGAAGTTGATTGAAGGCCTCAGAGCAGATATGATGGAGATAAAGAAATTACATGCAGAATCTGGAACAGCAACATCAAAGCTCACACCTGTCAGAACGAAAGGACGCCAAGAACGCAGAGAAGCTGGGATGGGTGGTATCTATCTGCACTGGTTCACCTCTGGAGCCATATTTCTCATGGCTGCAAGCAGAGAAATTTACAGGGAAACAGGAAGGGGCTTATGAGGAGGGA